TCCCAGTGCCCACCCCCACTGCTGCTCTGCTGGAAGCACAGCCCTGCCATCATTGCATTGAACTGTACCACTGCCACTGAACAAAGTCAGGATCCCCTACTGTGACCATTGTATCATGCCCGGCTGACTCTGCAATATCATTTTGATGTGTCTTCAGTATGGATTTCTTTTTTTTTTTTTTTTGAGTCAGAGACTCACTCTGTCACCCAGGGTGGAGTGCAGTGGCGTGATCTCCAACTTTCTCAGTTTTCTTTGATAGGAGAGTGGTCCAAATGACCTTTTCTGCCATTACTGGAAGTTGAAGTTTGATGTGTCTCTTGATTTTCTCATACTCATCATTACTTTAGTATGTACTTATTGCCATTAAAATAAAACAAAAATAACTTAAATTTATTCAACATCAAACATAACACATGCTGTCATATATAACAATCAAGACTCTCAATTGCAAGTTTAGGAACCCCAACTCAAACTGACTTAAGAGGAGAAGGTTCATGTAAATGAAAAGCCCAGAGACATTTCTGGTTTCACTACGGTCAAATCGAAGAGCTGTAACAAAGTCATGAGATTTGGTCTCTCCATCCTTTTCTGCTTCTATTGGTATCACTTTCAGGCAGGCCTTCAGAACCTGTGAATTTGGCATGTCATGTGGCAAAGGGGAATTAAGAGTGCTAATCAGCTGACATTAAAATAGGGAGATTTTAGAAGAAAAAAAGGACAAAGCAAAAAGTGGGGAGAGTACCTTGAAATTTTGGGAGGGCCCAATGTAATCACAGGTGCCATTAAAAATGGAAGAGGGAGAGAGAGGCGTGTTAGAGATAGGAGTGGGGGAATGGTCAGGCACATGCAACATTGCTGGCATTGAAGATGGAGGGAGAGATCACAGACTGACGAGTCTAGGTGGCCTCTAGCAGCGAAGAGGCAAGGAAGCGGATTTTCTTCTAGAACCTCCAGAAAGGAAAACAGGCCTGCCCATACCTTGATTTTTAGCCCAGCAAAACTTGTGTCAGACTGCTAAACTACAGAACTGTAAGAATAAATTTGTGTTTTAACTAAACCACTAAGTTGTTGCTAATTTGTTACAGCAGCAATAGGAAACTAATACAAGTGGTTTCCCAAGGAAATTTGAGGCTTCTTAACAGGTAAGAGAGAATGTAGACAGGGCAGACAAAAATAACAGATGTCTGCTATACCACATACGGTGTTATGGTAGACATTGGTTTTCATCCACAGTTCCAGGCTTATAACTCCCATAGCCCCTGTTAGTTCTTTTGTTGTAATATTGGGTGTGTGTTAGGCCTCAGGAAACAGAATCTCTCCTTCTCCTGCCCTCCTTTCACCTGCCCCAAGGCAGGACTCTGATCTTTTTCAGGCTTTCAGATTGTGGGTCTTAAGATCCTCCCCAGAGAGGTTCTCCCTATATCCTGGGGGAAGGAATGCTGAGGTCTTGAAGCTTCCATAAAAACCCATGAGGACGGTTCAGGGAGCTTCCTGATACCTGGACGCGGGGAGGTTCCTGGAGGGTGGTGCCCCCCACCCC